AGATGCTTTATCATTAGGCTTCGGATTTCGTTGATACTACGCACCTGTTAGACATATCAGCCACACAAATTTTCCATAGATCTGCCATGGGATTTCTCTACAGGAGGCGCTCGAGACGAGTGGGACGCCCGATCTATCGGTCAGCTCACGGACTATTTTTAAACTTAGAGGAAATCGAAACTTGTATGATGCAACGTTAAAGTGTACATTACAGCAACAGTAAATGTATGTGCATATAATTAAGTGCTGAGATGCAACGCAAACGGCCTGCGGTAGCTCCTAACGGTTTAATATCAAGGCGGATGCGCATCGCAAATGTTATCTCTGGGGTTAGCAGAAGAACAATGCACAGCAGCTCAAGGAATGCGGATTGCGAAAATTCCATATTAAACGGCCAACAACAAGAGAGAGAGAGGGAGGATAGAGATGAGGCCACGTGCCGGAGATATTAAACACAGCATCATAACAATGTCTTGCTTTAATTTGCTGTAGGAGCGAAGCTGCTTCTGTTTGATTAAATGCTCAAATTTCAGTTTCGATTAAGAAATGCAGTTGTGGAAATATACGAGGATAGTAAACAAAACGAATGTTAAACTTCAGTAGTCAGTTATAAAAGAAACATAAATTAAAGCTGATCGATTTCGTGGTGGCCCCAGTTCAGATTTGGGGAGGACTAAATCAAAACGAATGTTAAACTTCAGTAGTCAGTTATAAAAGAAACATAAATTAAAGCTGATCGATTTCGTGGTGGGCCCAGTTCAGATTTGGGGAGGACTAAATAAAAATTATCGTTACGTAAGATTGTCTTCGCAGATATGTGGGATACTCGTTACTCATGTTACTTCTTGACTTTTGCTGCATTATTTTATACTATTTTGTGGTCTTTGTTGTTTTTTGGGAGTTTAACCCTGCTGTCCAGTTCGAATCTTACAACCTAATCTAGTGTTCGGGTCAATATGACCCGAGTGTGAATCATACATTTCAAGTAAAATAATATTGTTTAAACCAAAATGTATTTGTTAATAAATGCATGTTTTACAAAATAACATTGTATTTAAACCAGTAAGAAAGAAAAAATCTAATAAAAAGATGCAAAAGAATACAAAAATGTTATTTTAGTTTTGTTTACAATTAGGACAATAACAATTGCTATGCACTTTACAAATATGTTTACGGCAAATACAACATAAAATATTAGCTTTATTTTCATTTTTTGATGGGCAAAATTTACAGCGTGCCCTTTTAGTAGCCGTACCCGTGGCACTTGTACATGGTATATCAGAATGTGTTTCTGATCCTGATCCATTAGCTTGTGATCTTCTTACCAGACGACGTGACCCTTCACCTCTTGGCAAACATTTTCGGGAAGTAATAAGCGGTGTTACTAAAGCTTTTCCTAGTTCTTCCAAGTATAGTCTCCTTTTGGTGAGCTTATTTTTATTCCAGTTCGGATTTATTGACGTCCATAAAACGAATGCGTTATTGGCGGAAGTATCTATCATATTATAAGAAATTACCGTTGGCCGGCGATTAGTTTTTCTTTTGCATGTATATGTTCCAATAAGTTGATCGAGAGTATCAACTGCTCCCTTCGTTGCATTATAATCCAAGATCACTTGAGGCTTTTTATCAGCTCTGTCACTAATAGCTTGATCATGGTGTAACGTGCTCATAAGAACAACATTTTTATTCTTTTTTTGGACTATAATTGACAACTGTAGTATCTTGCGTGAAGTAAAAAGTTGAACTGTGAACTTCTTTATTTGTTAGTTGTGGAAGTTCTGGTTTGTTCCTCCGTATGGTACCAAGCATGGTAATTTTTCGCTTTAGAAGAAATTGTCCTAAGTTGTATGACGTAAAAAAGTTATCACAAGTAAGATTATGGCCTCTCAAATCAGAAGTAAGATCATATACTACTCTCATTCCTTGATGCTTTTCGGAAGCAGAGCCCGCTTCTTTCCCTTTATTTATTTGCAGTTTGTATGCATATGAGGTTTTGCTATCACATAAGGTCCATATTTTCACGCCATACTTTGCTGGTTTGTACTGTTTGAAAGGACATCGTCCTCTAAACGAAACAAGTTATTCATCAACAGTAACATTTTCATGGAGATTGCATAATTTCGGTATGTTTTCAACCCACTTTTCCCAGACATCCCGAATGGCGGCAAGTTTGTCGGAACGTCTTCTTTCCTGTCGGGTGGTCTTATTGTCAAAACGGATTACTCGGGATATTTTTGTGAATAACTCAAGAGACATTGTTGCCCGAAATATACTGCGACCAGTTTCTTCATTCCAAAGGCTTTTAGTTGCTTCTCCGTAAGATTTATACACACCGGCTAATATCAAAAGATAAATATAAGGTTGAAAAGTCATTTTGTCTAGATCTTTCCAACATGAACCAAAAACCCGAAATCCTTCTTTGTTAGTCATATTTATAATTTGTGTTTCGACAACGTCAGAAAACACTAAGTATGTCAAATGAGCTTTTTACATCGAAAATTCGTGCACATGCGTATCTTGTAACTCCTGGAGAACTTTTTATAACGTTTGCAGATGAAAAACGACCGGACTGTCACGGAGAATCCATCGACCATTGTATTTTACCATCTTTTGAGTCCACTGTTGCATTAGATGTTGTAGGATTATTCGCGAGCACTGGAACCAAATCATCTTCAGAACTTTCTTCTTCACTCTCATTGCTTGTATGGTCTTCTAATTCTGATATACTCCCATCACTCTCGGAAACTTCCACCAGCGCAAGCAATTCACTACCAGTCACAAACGTAACAATTTAATTTTTCCTTTTTGAACAAAGAGTGATTGTTTTTATGCTTTGGCCAAATAAATAACTCATAGTTAGTAACAAAGTCACCAAACGCCACTATGATTGTGAAGAATGGACATTTTGAAAAATGAAATAGGTTTCTTCTTTGGGTCAAATAGACCCGAACAGCACAGCAGGGTTAAATAAAAGATAAAGGAGCAAATTAAGGGTGACGAGCAACAAACGAGAGAATTTAAATCTACGTTAGTTTTTTCGCTGAAAATATTTGAAATTGGTTATGAAATTATTTTCGAATGCGAATGTATCAGATCTGTGTAGTTTCATTATTAAGATAGATTATGATTCAAACATAATCGAACATATATTTTCAGCGACATATTAACTTAGCTTTGCATTCCGTTGGTTGGTGCTCGCCGCCCTAAAAGTGTAAAAAGACAATACTACTATGGTGTTTCAGTTCGACTAGCTATAGTAGCTGCTCCTTGAAGGTACTACAAAACACATTAGCTTGCTGGAAAAGACGGTAGACATTAACCAAGAGTCATCCAAATCAGGCATGTAATACTGATAAAAAATATGCTGTAATGTTAAAATTCAGTACCGTGCACAGTGAGTAAAAAATGAAAAAAACCTGGTGAAAACAACAAAAAGTATGTTTTCCCCCTTTAAATCCAGATTGTTTTCACTGACATATGGATGCATAGCTCATCTTTATATAACATTAGTTTCATTTAGATGGATCTGCATACGGAATTATAGTGAAACCAATGCGTTTACACTAAAAAGTATACAATGGAACAGTGCCACGTTTCAAGACAAGCAGCTGTTTCACAAAATGGATTGCAGAGCCGAAGGTGGGTATATTTACAACCTGGCATTATATTACTTGCTAATCGAGACCTGACACGAAACGATGCAACAACATGTAATTGATAATTCTTCTGTCATTCAATTAGTGAATTCATAAACAGTGTAGAAAAAACGTCCATTGAATTTCGCAAATTTGGCTGCAGTCAACGATGAGCGCATTGTATATGTCATGTATACGCGTATACAATGGTGAATATATACGTCTCGATATACGTATAAGATGTATACAATGGCAAATCATAGTTTCCTTTTGGATTTCCACGTGTACGAGGAACAAAGATAGCGGGAGAAGCGGGCACCACTTGTGTATAAAGAGTGCACCTCACACCACGTTGCCTGGTACAACAGGACACGACTGTAACTTGCTCTAATGCCTTGTTTTCTACGCCCAAATACACATTTCTGACTAATGTGTTTAGGATCAATTCCAGATCGATCCTAATGCTTTAGGTGGAACTAGAACATTGCATTATTGGTTTGACTGTGAAAGCAGTTTATAAATAATGAGAAAGGATATAGATATATAATATTTATTTATATATGTATACAAAGATACAGTTTTAAATAAATTAGGAACATTTCTTAAGTAAAATATAACAAAATACTTGTGTGATTTCATTCGAGATGTAGCGGTATTGGACAACTTTTTTTGCAGACACTACACTCTACGGAATATGTCTTTCCATTTTCAAATAAAATGAAACCTAGTTCATCGGTTTCTTTGTTCTTGGGGCGTTCAACCATATTTTTTTAAAGTTGCCTGTTCACCAACTTTGTGACGCTGGCGAATAAACCTAACCTCACTTATGCTATTCTATACATTGTCTTAATCATCGTATACATTCTATTCATTGTATACGCAATGTATACATTGTATACGCATTGTATACATCAAGACGTAGACAATTAATGTATACGCGTAAACATCCATCACTGGCTACACCTGACTGCAAGTTGACCAACTAATCGACATCATTCAATAATTGGTAAAAGCCCAATTAAAATATCAGGTAACCAAATAAGTTCATGCGGTTTCTGTATATCGCACATTGCCATGGATGTTGTTGATCGTTTGTTACCTGTTGTCACTTTAGTATGAATCCTTCTTTTCTCACACACATAAAAAGTTGCAGAAAATTGTTACATACCTAGTTTTAATGATTGAAAATGGTGATGAATAAAACAGTATTTCGAAGTTGTTTACTGTATGAGTATAAACAAAAGCTGCAGCGGCGGCGCGAAAAATATGTATCGCATTCGGAGATGATGCCGTTAGGTGATCGAACAGCACAGAAGTGGTTCAAAAAATGTTCTTCGGTAGATCTCAGTTTGAGCGATGAACCGCGCTCAAGGAGACAAAAAATCATGAACAACGAGAATCTTCAACAGGTTGTGGACGCAAATTCCAGGACAACGTACCAAGAACTTGCAGAAATGTTCAGAGTGAGTCCTGAAACTATTCGTTTGCATCTTCATCAGCTAGGAAAGACGTGGAAGTTAAGCAAATGGGTCCCACATGAACTGACAAATGATAATAAATTAACTCGTCTTACCATTTGTTAAGCAAAGATTTCACGCAACACTAATGAACTATTTCTTAATCGGTTATTAACCTGCGACGAAAAATGGATCTTGTATTCGAATTCCAGGCGTTAGTATCATTATTAATTGTCGCCTACTGATTTGGTACCACACACGCCAAAGGCTTCTTGGCACGCAAACAAGGTTTTGTTGTGTGTTTGGTGGACAGCAACTGGAATTGTCCATTATGAGTGTTTGGAAAGGTGTCAGATCATCAGTGCTAACTAACAGAAACAGCCTTCTTCGATCAATCGGAAGAAAGTGATATTTTTGCAGGATAACACTAAGCCTCATACCGCAAACGTGACCCGAGAAAAAATTTCTGAACTCGGCTGGGAAACGTTACCGCACCCGCCATATTCTCCCGACATTTCGTCCAGTGATTATCACCTTTTTTTGTCTCTCGACAACTGTATGAGGCACCGACAGTTCATAACTCGAGATGGTGTAATAAATGCAGTCCACCAATTATTTGACTCCAAATCCAGGTAGTTCTACAATACCGGCATACAAAAATTGGTTCCGTGTTGGCAAAAGGTCATTGAATGTGATGGTAATTACTTCGACAAATAAATAGTGTCTTATTGTTTTTCAAACAAAAATATATCGTTCTACTAAAAAGCGCACGAACTTATTTGCTGTTCGTGCAGCAAATATGACTCCGAACCTTGACGCCTCGAGTACCAGTGGAACTTTGATTGGATTGCCATGTTGGGGGATTTTTACTTGGGAAATTTTTTGGGGATATAATGTTCTGGGGGAAGTGACACGTTTCGTGAAGAGAAAGCTTAACTCCGCTCTTTGAGCGGAACCTACCACTCTATATTAATTAACTGTGATTTGTTTTTCTTTCAAGTATCAATTCTGAAGAATTCTTATGCTTATCCGGGGAAAATCTGCTCATTCCATATGAACATTGTTCTAATAGTCTAAGAACCGGAATCTGCAGGAATGTTTTTTTGATAAAACTTGATTTTTATGAACGGTAAATAATACAATGGATTACAGCAGGGTTACCTCTGCTCAGACTGCTCCACTACCATTTATAATCCATAAGACATAAGTTTTTTCAAACAAAAAAGAGACATTTGCAGATTCAAGTGACGGGCAAGGGTATTACGTAACTTGAGGGGTGACATTTTGCGGGTCTTTTGACATTATGTAGGTTTTTTATGACGTTATGTAGGTATACCTACACGATGTCAACTAGGAACTAGCTGACGTTCACCTCATGCTTACTTGTAGGCGCGGAATGAACTACTTACACACTACCAACAAGTTGACATTTTATCGGGCTCTTTTGACATTATATAGGTTTCTTACGTAATAACCCTGCCGATCCCGTACTCTAACCGCATGCGCAGTATCTTCTGTCAGGCTTCAAGTTTTGGGGTAGTTTTTTTCTCATTTCGCTGATTCTCCTGGTATATAGGATCCATGGCCTAGTACTCAAAATTTAGCGCCACCAAAATATTTTTTTGTATAATATGTCCGCCATATTTTAGCCGTAATTACGGTTTTTAGAGGATCGATACTAAATTCATTACCGGCAACATTTAAAACATACAAAACTCCAACTCCATAGTAATCGAAACACCTTTTTCTAACAGTCAGCTATGTTGGATCTGCCATTCTGACGACGAAAAAAAATCGATGTCTGATTCGTTACCAGCGACCTGAAAAACCTGTAAAACTCGACAAATGAGCGAGCTCGGAAAGGTTTGCCCTAGACAGTGAAAGCAGATTTGAGGGCAATAGCAAACAAATCACGCTTATAAGTATCACAAAGTATCTCAAAAATCAATCATTGATTGATTCAGGTAAATTTGAAGACATTTACATATCTCTATTAATATCATACATCCGTCCGACAACATACGGTCAATCATGAACAGCTGCTTCTTGTTTTTTGGCAACTCATCAGCATGGTCTAGGCTGGTTTCACAACATGCAATCTGCTATCAGAATCGACCACCATGATAGTGAAACAGTGAGCCAGTTGTCATTTGACAGCCTGGTTACCAGTAAAGCCCGCTAGTATATGTAGATACGGTCTACTCGCGATTCCAAAAACTGGTAATATCGTTTTCGTCCATCCGAGGCCAGTCGAAAAAACCTCGTAAGCCGTGTGTTTTCAACAGTTTTCGATCATTTTTTCGCATAGTAAAAAGATCCGAAATTTTTAAGTTTCTGCTCAGATTTCTGGTCTAGGCTATGATTTATTTAGGTGGCTCAAAGAAACTGGAATTTGTCAATGCTCATTTTTGACATGCATGTTTCAAATGTAATACTTAAATAGCATTTGTTCATCAACGTTTTTCAATCAGGTTTGTATGATAGATTTAGAAACATATATGCGAATGCATGGGAAGGAGTCAGTCTACTTGAATTCATTTTGGTTATAATATATACATAAAATATCCTAGAATCCTATCGCATTGTATTCGATAATACTTATAATAATTACAAGACCTACTTTCTCTGCTTTGCCATTTACAAAAGGATTTCAAGCTTACAGAACCTGGAAATCTCGACAACGCACCGACAATATTACAATGGAATTTTAAACGAATTTAACTTTATTAAATACCGTCTGCAGGCGTTTTTTTCTATTAGGTACTGTTCCTTTTCCCTTGTCTTAAGATATTCTCCCACAGACAATTTTGTCGGAATTTCTCAGGGAACGTCTGACCCGGAGGCCGGGGGCTGAGCCCTAAGGAACGCTATTCAAAAAATGTCAGATGAGAGTGGCATCAGATTTCCATATACTTGGTTGCTTCAGTACCTGTCAATAGCAGGTATAAAATGAAATAAGTTTAAAACATCCAAATTGTGGAAAAATGGAATCCCGCCCTTGATAATAGATATGTGGGGAAGTATCAGGGGATATGACTATAAATTACTCCAATTTTTGTATGATGGTTCAGAAAAAAGTATCAGATCCACACCTATTATAAAAGTTTTCATGCAATGCCTTTTTTCTTTAGTCTCAGAAAACTTAATTAACACCAGTATATTTTTCATGACAATTATAGGCACTGCTTTTTTTATTCCATATATATAGGGTGTCCAGAAATTAAATTATAATCGTGAAACTACAAATAGGTCACGTTATTACGTAATTTCTACAAATGACATTTTTGAACCAACTTTGTTCCAGAATACTCATAATTGATCATTCCATCCCACACATTATTATTTTTTCTTGAGCTGTCAAGACACCTACTAAAATGATACCAAAGTCTAAAATCCCGTTCTCACGTCTGTAATGTCAGAGCGTCATGTATGATCACTGTGCGAATTAGACAGAAAAGTTGTTAATTGTTGGTAATTTTTAGATGACATTATTGTGTTTTGCACAGTGCCGTTAGTTCATTCTAATTGCGCGTTGGCATATTATGGCTTGGAGATAAAAAAAATGGTTAGGTGATGTTGATATATCAAAATTGGTATTATAAGAAGGGATGCACGGGGTACTACTATTTTCAAAATGCCGAGCACCGACTACCCGGTTAGAGTCGAATACCGAGTAACACCCAATATACCGGGTGTTAATAAAGTATGTAGACAAACCTCAACCATCGAATCCTTGGCCAATTTGAAGACGAAATTTCCAACGGCTTCGTTTTCAAGCCAGAGCATTTAGCACTAAAAGAAATGATATTGTTCTAAAAATTTATAAAAGATAGGAACGGATTTTATTTTAATTAAGTATGCCCTGTGATGAATATCACATGATTTACAGTAGTCTTCAGACCCTCCATGTACGCAGATACGGATAATGTTATCCAGTATTTTTTGAATTTTTTAATATTTAAGCATTGTGCTTATCTAGATACCTATGACGTACCCGAAAACAATTGATTAATTTATTTTCTCCAATAATTCGACAGCTGTCAAATATTTGTTTTCTTGTCTGGTCATTCTAATACTCCAAATATTTCTAACTTTTGGTGTAAGGCTCGACGAGCACATTTGTATAGTGATCGATTTCCAAAACGCCCGCTGCCTAATGCCTAATTTCACGAGATCCACACATGTTGCAGGAATCGAAGTCGCAGGTGGCCACTTTGAACATTTATTGTCATAAAAAACTATTTTCATCCACGTTCATATTGAGCCTCAGCAACTTGTAAAGCATGCAAAACTGTTCAATAAATACGTTTCATGATTCATAGAAATATTTGAAACATTACTCGTATTTCTTTAGTGATAGTGCTCTAGCTCGAAAGGAAAGCCATTACGGATCCATGTTCATATACAGGGTGTCCCAGAAGTGGACGTCAAGCCGAAACCGGGTGATAGGCAAAGTCATAGTCAAAACAGCTATCAGAAAAATATTTAAAAAAATTTTATGTATGTGTTTTGAAAATTATAGGTCTTTGAAAAAATATAGAAATTTCACACCCTACGGCAGTCTGTCAACTCCTGTTACTACAAATATTAACTTTTTTTGTATTTTATTTTTACAATGTAATGATGAATAATGCGTCTTCAAACTGGTGTCTCAACCTTACTGCCAACTTTTCTCGTTCAGGAAAAATTGCCACTTATTTCCCAACCAAGTATTCCAAAGTAAAACTTTGCTCAACTTTAACTGGCTGTACTGGAAAAAAATGTACTACGAGAGTTTGGCAAGTACCCTTAAAAGTTGGCGCATTTAATAACGATTCCAAAATGGTATAACACTTAGAAGATTACTCGTTAACTTATGCAGAATTTTTATTTGAAAAAAAACTGATTTTTCAAAATTTCCTAATTAAACAGCGATTATGAAAACGCACAAGGACCCTTAAGGATAACTGTTTGCACAACAGTGGGCGTCAAAATGGTGCTGATGATGATTTACCTTTACAGCAAATGCTCAAACTGTTTTCCTTCAGCCGCAGTACACGCTCGACATCTTCTTAAAAAAGATCGGGTTATTAAACGAGCGAATCCACGGTTATTAACAAACTCAGCTGCTTCCAATAGCCTTTGCCGTAGCTCAGCTACATTTTGAATCGGCTTGAAATACACTTTTTGTTTTACAGTTCCCCAGTAAAAAAAATCTAACGGATTCAAATCAGGTGATCGGGCTGGCCACGGTATTGTACCAGACCGCCTTATCCATCTGCCTGGAAAGTTTTGATCGAGAAACTCTCTCACTGAGAGTGCATAGTGCGCTGGGCAGCCATCATGCTGAAACCACATGTCCCTGTAAATACTCAGTGGCACGTCTACCAATAAATTTTGTACATGATTTTTCAAAAAACCTAAATAAACCTCAGCAGTCAAAGTCTCTGGGAACTCAAACGGACCGATTATTTTACCATTTAAAATTCCTGTCCAATGGTTTATCTTGAAGCGATATTGAGA